GCATTCTTTTTTTTTGCCTTAGAGAGAGCTTCTCTCTATATGCCTCTTGTAAAGCTTACAAGACAAGCTTTGCAAGAGGGAGATCCCTCCATACACGTGTATGGAGGGGAGCAAAAGCAATACAGCTGTCTAAAAATATCTGCAAAAGCAGATGAACAGCAATCGGCCGGCCAAAAATGCCATCTTGGCCAAAAAGAGTGCCGGTCGGCAACAAATAGTGCTGACCGGCAACAAAGAGTGCCGGCCGGCAAACTATATTGCCGGTGGCAGCAAAAACCAGCCGGTGGCATCTAGCCACTGCCGGTGATGGGTGGGGATGGTCTACAATCCCCACCCTGCCTCTCAAGGGCAAGATGCAAGTGTTTGGTGCAAAACCAGACACTAAACGGTCGAGTTCGGAGATCCTGAGGCAAGGCACGCAAGCCGAGACCTCCGGGAACTCCAAACGAACACAATCATGGATGATCACCGAGTGTTCAAACGGTGACGTCCAAGTCTTGAGGACGGTCAAAAATGGGGTGTCTACAGTACCATTCATATTTTGGAGGACATGCTTAGAGCTTGCATCCTTGATTTCAAATGGTCTTAGGAAAGGCACTTGCCATTGATTGAGTTCGCCTATAACAACAGTTATCAAGCTAGCACTGAGAAGACACTTTTTGAGGCCTTGTATGGCCGACCTTGTAGATCACTGGTTTGTTGGGCCGAGGTGGGTGATGCACTGTTGTTGGGTCCAGAAATTGCTAGAGAGACGACTGAGAAAGTAGCTCTCATTAGGAAGAGGTTGGCTACGGCTCAAAGCCGACAAAAGAGTTATGCTGATAAGAGGAGATGACCTTTATCTTTTGCAGTCGGTGACCATGTGTTCCTTAAAATCTCGCCAAGACGGGGTTTGATGAGATTTGGTAAGAGTGGTAAATTGTCTCCAAGGTACATTCGGCCATTTGAGATATTTGAGCCAATTGAGGAAGTGGCATACCGGCTAGCTTTACCACCACAACTTTCGGGGGTTCACAACGTGTTTCATGTATCTATGCTTAGGAAATATGAGTCCGACCCTTCTCATGTACTTGATTGGGCTGATTTGGAGGTAGATGAGGATCCCTCTTACGAAAAGCGACCGGTTCAGATACTAGATACCTGGGAGCAAGTGTTATGAGGGTAAAACTATACCGTTGGTAAAGGCATTGTGGAGACACCATGGGGTTGAGAAAGCAACGTGGGAATGGGAGGCGGAGGTCTGCTCCAAGTATCTAGATTTATTTGAACATGCTTAAGTTGCTTTTCATTGATATTGTTCTCTAGCATTGAGGGAAATGTATTGAAATTGTTAATTACATGTTGTTATGTATATTGTTATTCTAAGCACGAGATTATTGTGGGTTAATACTACTTTTATTGGAAATCTTCATGCTTATGTTTATCTTAAACGATTATTGTTAATGAGATAGGTGTGATTATGATGGTGAGATTTGGTTGTGAATTAATGTTGTGGTTTGGGAATATAATAGCGTGGTTTTAATCGCTTGAAGCCCGTTGTTTGGATAGTTTGATTTAATTTCAGGGACGGAATTTCCTATGTGGGGAGGTTGTGATGACTGGGTATGATTGTCCGCCTCGTTTTCCTTTGTTTAACCTTGGGTTTGCCCTGTTAGAGTGTCGGGTTTAACCGAGAGTCTAGTTAACGGTTTGAGGTTTGTTGCATTTGAAAGGTTTACTCAAAATTCTTGTCCTTGTTTATTTTTGGGGCAAGTTCCACATATTTTGGAAGGTACGGGGTTGAATCCGGGGTGTTCCGAGTTGAGCTGGGGTGATTTCGGGTTGAGAGGCTGAGTCGCACGTATGGGGGCCTCGGGTCGCACGTGCGGGAGGTGAGGCCGCACGTGCAGAAAACAGGGAATGTCTTGGGTTGCCTACTACATAAAAGGCACATGGAGAAGAAGGTGCGGAGAAGGCGCCGCACGTGCCGGGGTGAGCACTGCACGTACGGGAGGCACACTTCGCACGTGCAGGAGGCGCTGAGTCCGAAAATTTGCTCTTTTTTTTTTTCCCTTATCTTGGGCTGAGTGTTTATCATTTTATACATCTCCCTCTCTCTCTAAAAACCCTTTTCGCTTCCATCTCTCTACATTTCCTACGTAAAAACTCACTAGATCTTTGATTTCTCCAAATCCATAAACATTTTGACCCTTGTTTCTTGATCAAAGTTAGAAAGCTCTTCGAGGGCTTCATTGTGTGCGGTGGATATCAGATTTCAACACCATCAAATTTAGGGCTTTCATCTCTTCGTTGTGTGTGGTGGAGATCAGATTTCAACACCATCAAATTTAGGGCTTTCATCTATTTTATTTCAACAAGATTGAGGTAGGGATTTTCTTAGAGTTATATATATGTTTTTGCAAGATTCGTATTGTTTTGGAGCTTCTTGATGATATTAAGAAAATTTTGGTTTTTGGCTCAAGAGTGATAGAAGTTTTAAGAGTGGGTTTAATTTTTGACTCTGTCCAAACTAATTCTTGAGGGTTTCAATCACATTGTATGAGAAATGGTGCTTTGGGTAAGTTGCTTTGCAAAAGATAAAGGGATATCACTTTTTGTCAAAACCCCAGAAACTTGAGATTTTAAAAAAGGTTGATAATCTAGTAAATTTTTGCTTGCTTATTAATATTCCATAATGAATGAAAGATTGGGAAATTTCTTATTTGATTTTGTGTTAAATGGTAAATTTTGTTGAATATGTGAAAGGATGAAATTTTGGGATTGATTATTGAAATTGTAGATATAGTCATGAAATGACTAATTTGTTAAGAACTCATGAAATGTGGTAATGTTGTTACTAATGATGAATCTTTATAGATATGTGGTAACCTTGTGACATGCATTGGAAAGGAAAAATGGAAATTTTGATCACAAATGGAGCATTTGTGTGGAGGTTTTGTAAATGATAGGATGTTGCATTGCATGGTTAATTGTTGCATTGGCACGGTTAATTGTTGCATTGGCACTTCAATACCTTGCTTGTTATAAGTATTGAATTGGAGTTTGAAACTTTGCATTGATAAAGAAATATTGAGAAATGATTTTTGTTGAAGTGTTTTGGGGTAAATACATTGGTAAGTTCGGATAGGAAGTGTAGATGAAATTAATTAAGTTGACCTGAGTGTCTTGGGTGAAAGACCGAAAACACGCGTGGAGGAGGTACCACTTCCCTTCCGGTTAGCAACCGGTAAAGTGGGGTTTTGGTAGTGCTAGATATGCCTACTTACAGACACCAACCTAAGGATTACCTGAGTCGTATTTACTGTCCCTTTAAATAAAATTGTAAAATTTGAATTGTTGAGATTTCAAGTTATCATTGAGCATGATGATTTTCAAATGATGTAGAAATGTGACTTTCTTTTAAAGCATAGCATGGCATGTGCATATTATATTGTGGAGCTTGTATAAAATATATATACTTTGTTAAGAAATTTCTACTGGGCCTTGTGCTCACCCCTATGGGATTTTGGTGCAGGAAAGGACGTGGTGGTTCCGCCAAGTTAGGGCATGGACATATGTGTTGGGAGCATAGGGCTCTTATTTTGTTGTGGCATATTTTGTTAGCCAAGGGCTATACCTGTTTGGGTCCGAGAGATCATTTTTGTGTAACTAGGCTTAAGCCTTGGAATATGTAAGCCTTTGAGGGCATTTTATTTTTTATTTTTTGGATTTGACGTTCTACATACTATAGATTCATGTATATGATATCATTGAATGTATAATTCGCATGTGGGACTATTTTGTACAAACCTTAATGATCAATGATGTAAAGGTTGAAGAATCACTCCTTCTCTTATAATGAATGTTAGTTGATGTAATTATATGATATTATTATTTTTGGGGTGTTACAACTTAGTATCAAAGCTACCAAGTTTAAATACTTGGGACTCGTGGGAGTGGTTGTTTTACCACAATGGGTTTATTTCGCATGATTAGGAGATGTTTTGTATTTTGTGACTATGTGATAACAGGCTTATATGACTAAATGGGTATGGGATTGGACTTTTGGGATGTTGTTTGCGCCTATTAAATTCATTGAGGTCATAAGGGTACTTGATCAATACTCATTCTACTAAGAATTCTTGATTTTTCATGGGACGACTTTCACCACAAAAGAATAATCCGTATGTGCTTACATGACTAAGTGCTTATGTGAAGTGGAATTGAATTGTTTGTATGGTAGAGAAATATATGAAATTGTTATAGTCAAACGCATGAGGCAAGTTGCGAGCACATTTGAGATTATGTGCTAAATTGTTTACCTTGTTCCTTAATTAGGATATTAGGGAGGGGTCAAGCCTGTGGTGGTAAAGGTGGGAGGTGTGGTAGAGCTCGCAGGGGTGTGCATGAAATACCAGTCCATGAGGTTCCGATGTAAAAGTAGGGGTTCAGCCAAGCTAATGCGGCCGGGCAAGCACGCCAAGCTAATGTGGCCGAGCAAGTGGGACAAGCAGAAATTTCGAGGCAAGCGGGTCAAGCTGCAATGGGGGCCCTAGCTCGAGAAATGGCGGGCTTTGAGGGAATCGATGAACATATTGAGGGCGGAGAACCAAGCTCGAGAGAATGCCATAGAGACAAGGGCGAGTTTTCTCACTAGGGAGTATTTGTGGGCCAAACCGAATGAGTTTCATGGTGGTCCCGAGCCCAAGAAAGCAGATGACAAGCTCGAACAAATGGTGAAGACATTTGAGATGCTTCACATTGAAGATAGCGAACTTAGGGTGACTCTAGCAAGCTATTACCTCAAGGGGGATGCGGGCCAATGGTGGAAAGACGCCAAGGGTCGAGTGGAGCCAACATAGGAAGCATTTGTGATTGCTTTCGAAGACAAGTACCTACCTCCTACTGCTAGGGAGAGATTGAGGCAGGAGTTTCAGGACCTCAAACAACTTAACCTGTCCGTGGCTGAGTTCGAGGTGGCCTTTACTAATTTGTCCCGGTTTGCACCGGAGTTGGTGGCAATGGAGGAATGCCGTTGCATAGAATTTGAAAAGAGGTTGAGAACTAAGATCTTGTTCAAGGTTGCCAGGAATATGATCCAGAACTATGATTGTCTTGTGGAGGCAGCGACACATGTGGAGATCATAGAACAAGTCGAAGAGGAAAGAATTCGGGGTTCAACGTCTAGGGGTCACAAGTCACAGGGAGACTATAGACCTAACAAGAAGAGTAGGAACAATTTTTCACCCCCGTCTAAATCATAACAGTCTAGATCCCCTTTTCCATTGCCTAGTACAGGTCTGGGAAAGAGCGCATCGGGTGACTTCTCGTGTTTCAAGTGTGGCCAACCGGGTCACAAGGCCTTTGTAAGCCCACAGAAGGGGGGAGGACAGCAGATGTTGCCACCAGCACCACCTAATTGATCCCAGAGTCAGTCTTAGAGTAGAGGACAAGGACTTCCTTGCTTTCAATGTGGTCAACCAGGGCACATGAAGAGAGTTTGCCCACAGTTAGGAGGCGTATCTAGCGCATCAAGGTCAAGGCAGACACAGAGCCACCAGCAGACTCATTCAGTTTAGACTTCACGAGCTAATCAGGGAGCCGCTTCAGCTCAAGAGTGTAGCAGGCCTATGCTCCGAGAGATGAGCAGGTTGATCAGAGGCCACAGGGACGCACATATGTTGTTACCGCACTAGAGCAGTTACTAGGATCCTCAGTTGTGAAAGGTATTTTTGTTGTGTGTAATTCTTTGGCCAATGTGTTGATAGATCCGTGTGCGTCTCATTCATTTATATCTACTACATTTGCTTCTGCATTGGGATTAAAGGTGGCACGGTTAGCGTCTTCGCTTATAGTAGAGTCACCAGTTGGGGGTACAGTTGACTTAGACCGGGGGTGTCGTGGTTGTGAGATAGAGGTTGTTGGACGTCAACTTTCGTTTGCTTTTGTATTGCTAGACATATCGAGTTTCGATGTTATTCTAGGCATGGATTGGTTATCTTCATACCGAGCTGTGATTGACTGTTACCATCGGCCAATTTTGATAGCCGATCGGCAGATTAGATGGTCGATCGGCCACTGATTCCTGCAATTTCCTCCTTTTGCTGCAACAGAGCACTAACAGAGGCATGGCATTGTATTTGCAAGAAAATGTGTATGCAACCACACTCCTTATCATGTCACATGCTCAAAGGAGTGTAGTGCTCGACTCTCGAGCCATTAATCACGCATCTCAATGCATGATGGCCAAAGAGGCCGAGTTGCACAAATCAATGTTAATGAATGCACACAAACAACGCATAAGACTCGATGAACCTCCACCTTATCATATATGATCAAAGGTGTCAGCGATCGAGAAATGAGGCACGTTTCATCACTTCAAGTATAAAACGTCCCTCGTTTCTCGTATTTGGACTAACACCCTATCCAAACACAATGCAATGCAAGGCATGCATACACAATGCAATGCAACATGAGCATGTCAACACAATGTAAACAATAACCATGCAAATATCATGCAATGCAACAAGCATGCAACAACATTCAAACAACATGCTCAATGGACTTAAACCGAATATGGACAGACCTCAATCATGCCCAAAACAGTGGCCAAAATGCATCAAAACTAAGGCATAAAAGGGGCAAGAACACATGCTCATGTGGTGGCTCATCAACTAAGCATAAGAACACAACCCTCAAAAGTGCTCAAGGAGTGACAAATGTGAGAGTGTAGCAATGAAGTAAGCTCTGAAATTACATTCCAAAGGATGCTAAATCACGCACATATGACAAATAAAGCATGCTAGCTGTAGACACCCCATTTTTGACCGTCCTCAAGACTTGGACGTCACCGTTTGAACACTCGGTGATTATCCATGTTTGTGTTCGTTTGGAGTTCCCGGAGGCCTCGGCCCGCGCGCCTTGCCTCAGGATCCCAGACCTCGACCGTTTAGTGTCTGGTTTTGCACCAAACACTTGCATCTTGCCTTTGAGAGGCAGGGTGGGGCTTGTAGACCATCCCCACCCATCACCGGCAGTGGCTAGAGGCCACCGGCTAATGTGTAGTTAGTTAATTTGTAATATTATTTTGGTCCCTCCGAGTGAGGGCAAATCTATAATAAGTGTGTGTGGGTGGTGTGTATGTCTTCCAACCTCACTTCTTTCTTCCCTTTTACTTACAGAGACTTAGGATATTTTTTAGAGCAAGAACAGCCATTGTTAGGGTTTGAGTTCTAGGGTTAGAGTTAGATACACACTCTATCTCTCTTTCCGTCTCTTTTGTTCACTAGGTGCTTTGTGTCTTACTATTGCACACAAACACCTAGTGTTTCACCTTCCTCTTGGAGTTGAGGTTCTAAAGAGTTTGTTTTGAAGTTTTGGTGTTGGATTCAAGCTCAAGGAGGCCATTGGAGCACCATTTGTGAAGGGGTCTTCAAGGGTGAGATTCTAGTCCCTTTTTCCCCCATTTTTGCATTGATTTTCCACCTGTCTTAGAGCTGTTTTTGTGATTATTGTATAACATAAAAAAGTTCTGTTTTTAAGCCCTCTTTGTTGTTTATTAAGAGTGTTTTGTTGTTTGAGGGTTGTTGACCACCCTTAGGCCTCAAAAGGCCTCATTTTGAGCCATTTTGTGCTAGCTCCGGGATTTTGGTGTTGGGGTCTCTTCACCACTGAAATCTTGAGGGATTTCAGTGGTGAAGATGATGCTTTGAAGTCCCAAGAAGGAGAGGGCCATCCCCTCTCCTTGTTGTCCTTGAAAAGGGCATATTTTGACCTCTTAATGAAGCCTATGCTTGAGTGTGTGTTGAGCATGTTTGGTTTGTTTTTCATGCTTATATATCCATGATATAACATGATTTCAAGTTGGTTTTGGAACCTTATGCATGTTTAGCATAGTTGCCATGTAATGCCTTATTTGTGCCTTAACATGTTCTAGGTTGTTAGCCTTTGTTGGAGCATGTTTTAGGCTTGTGTTTGTGAAGTTTATGTGCTTATTTTGCCATGCTTTAGCTCTGTCCATAGTCGTTTGGGTTGATCTTTGCATGCATTATATAGCTCTTTTGTATTTGGGCTTGTTGGCCTTGAGTATGTGCATGTGTAGCATGGCATCTTTGCATTGTTTTGGTGATTTGGGATCATTCTACATGCCATTTCAGTCCCATTTCCATGCTTGTTTGATTGCCTTGCATGCCTCTTTAATGCTTTGGAAGCTTGTGTAGCAATGCTCCAAGTTTTGTTGTTTATGCATGTCTTTGTTTTTTGAGTCACTTAGATGCCATCTAAGTAGTCCTTTAGCTTTGTTTTAACATGCTAAACCTCTGATTTTGGTCCTTCTTTTCATGCCATGTTTGGTCATGTTAAGTGTAGTTCAATGCCTCACCGATTTGCTTTGAACACTTAGGGCATTTGGTGCATGCTTGGCTTGATTTGTTGCTCGGTTTGGCACCACGTATTAGCATGATTTCAAGGCTTATAATGCACGCTAATTGTTCATGTTTGTCCCTTTCAAGTGTGCTCGAATGTTGCTTCATGTTTGTCCCTTTCAAGTGTGCTTGAATGTCGTTTGTTTTGTGCTTAAGTGTTGGTCCTTATGTGCATATGTGTGTGCATGCCATTTAGCCCTCACTTTTTAGCACTTTGGCCACTGTTTTAGGCCTTATTAGAGCTGCCTAATTCATGTATAAGACCATCTTAGCATTAGTTTGCATTGCCATATATATGCTTGCATGCTTGCATAAGTGCTTTGCCATGCCATGTTGCATCCTTAGCTTGTATGCCTAGGTTGCATTGCATCTTGCATGCATTCCTTGTCCCTTGACTTGGGTGATAGGGATTGGGAGTTTTGTTTGATTGGTCTGCATACATTTGAAATCAAAGTTGCATGCTTGGTTCTTTGGGCCATCATGCATGGAAATGCGTGATTGGTGGTCCGAGAACCGAGGCACATGTCCCGTTGAATCATTACAATGATAAGGGACATGGTTGGTGCATACATGCCTTGAATTGTGTTGCCATGCTTTGTTTTGCCCTCTGTTGCTGTGAGTTGCAGGTTCTGCAGGAATACTCTGCCGACCGGCAGTGTAATGTGCCGACCGGCACCATTTTCTCTGCCGACAGATCCAATTTTGTGCCGATGGCCATATCACACTGCCGGTGGCAATTTCAATCAGCCGGTGGTGATCCACTCTGTCCAAGGGATCAGTCCTGAGGCTTTGACAGCCTCTAGAGGAGGAAAGGAAGGAAAATAGAGGCAACCCATGCATGGTGGCGCGCTTCCCGAGGCGTTTTCCTGCTTTAATTAATTTATTTAATTTGTTAATTAAATTAGGCAATTTGTAATATTAATTAGCCGGCGTAGTTAATTAATTTGTAATATTCATTCGGTCCCTCCGAGTGAGGGTAAACCTGTAATAAGTGTGTGTGGGTGATGTGTATGTCTTCCAACCCCACGTCTTTCTTCCCTTTTATTTACCTGCTTACGGTGGTAGATTTAGGGCATGTTTAAATCAGCATACCTTATGCTATGCATGCGTGCATTCATGCATTTGTATTACATGCATTAGGCTCGGTACATCATGCTAATTGCATTCGTACTTCAAAATCAAAAAATTGAATATGTGATAATTGTGCATTTTCACATGACATTGTCTAGGATTACCGAGCCTATTCTAGTAACATTTTGTATGCGATGCATTAGGCACTTCACATGGACTTGGATCATGCATGTTTGCTAACAAGTTTCTTTGTTTGGCACGGAGTACTATGTAAGTATTTCGCTTTAGCATATCGCATGAGTGTGAATATTTGCCATGACAGCATGCTTAACATGGGCTAGATGCTTATGTGTTAAACTGTTTTGAATGCCTGTGGGTGAAGGTTGGTTGTTTGAGTTGGAAAAACTCGTTGAAATCCGTATTTTAGCCTACTTGCGAGTAGCAAATTCAAAGCATTTTCAAACCGAAACGGATACGCAATGTTTATTTCCAAATTAGGCACATCTAGTCTATACTTGTTTGCTGTGCGCATAACATAGTAATTTCTAGGCTAATAATTGTTAAGAACACGTAAAGTTTTCAAAAATGGATATCACGAGTTAGTAGAGGCCGGTCTTTCGCGACCGGCGAAAGGGGTGCTCATAGCTGACCTTCCCGATCGTACCCTAGCTCCCGAGCGAGACAACTCCGGTGATGACGGACACGTGGCCTTCGGCACCGAGTTCAGGGTTTCCTAAATTCTCCCATTTTAAAATATTTAGGGTGGCGACCTGTAATCTGGCAAAGCAGTCCATGTTTGGCACTACTTTTTCAAAAATCTGTTTCTCAAAACGATTTGCCAGATTTGGACTCTTTGGTTCAGATTAAGAACCGTGACACAAATCGAGTCCGAACTGCAGCACGGGGCCCACGCGGGCGCGTCTACACTAGCTTAAAACTAGCCAAAGGACTCACACCATGGCCATAACAAGCAAGCCCCAAAGGGCCAAGGTGGCTCAAAACAATCCCAAGACAGGTCAAAACAAGACAAAAAACATGCTTGAACAGGGCTAACTCATGCTAGAATGGAAGGCACAAAACAAGATGCATACAAGGTGAATGAAGATGATTGCACTACACCTACCAAAACCAAGCATGAGACAACTTTGCCAACAAAAATCAGAGTTGTATTATGACAAAATAAGACCAAATATGCACTGAAATGGTGGCCCAAAAGGCTAGGCAAGATGGCATACATATTGGCCCTCATTTAAGGCATAAGGAACAACTTTCCAAAGGCATCGAAAGAGTGACACATGTGAGGGCATGACCACAATACACACACTGAAATCACATACCAAATGATGCTAAATCATGTAAATAGCCCAAGTAATGCATGCTAGTGACTTGGAAACTCAAAGCTAGTGAGCAAGAATGAACTATGGCTATACAAAGCAAGGCATGCATGACTAAAACAACATAAATCAGAGCTTAAGCATGCTAAAACATGGCCAAAAGCTTACTGGAGGTAAGCCAAAATCATGCTAGAATGATGATAAAAAATATAGAGCATGTTAGGCTAGCAAGTAGCATTACACTACAAGTGTATGAGGCATTCAAGAGACAACCAAACTAGCCAAAAATAGAGTTATACCAGGTCCAAAATCTCACAAAAACATGCTCAAACTAAGCCTCAAGAAGATAGAGCTTTATGCTCTTTTGATGAGCCATCAATATAAGAACACAAGCACACAAGCACACAAAACACAAGGAGAGGGGATGACCCCCTCCTATTTGGGACCTCAAAACACCATTCCACCACTGAAATTCCTCTGGAATTCAGTGGTGAAGAGGCCAAACAAAGGCCTAAAGAGATGGTTCAAAACAAGGCCAAACAAGGCTCTAAAGGGGGTAGACCACCCCCCAACACCAAAGAGGCCTTAAACAAACATGTTAAGCACTTCAAAACAAGACTTTTTCCAGTTGAAAGCAAGGCCTAAAACAGCATGCAAAAGGGGCCAAACACTTAAGCAAAAACAAGGCTTAAAAGGGGTAACAACTCACCCTTGAAGAAACACAGCAAACCAACACTTCTGAGCCAAAGAAAACAAACTTTGAGAGTCCAAACAAGGTCCTCTAGTACCTCAGCAACAAAGCAATGGTGCTTCACTAGGTGTTGTAGTGCAAAAGTGAAGACAAAACACACTTTAAGGCACCAACTCACACAAATATAAAGAGAGAGAGATGAAGAAATGTAGAGATAGAGATATATATGTTTTGTACATCAGATTTTCAGAATCTCTGGAAAGGGAGAGGGGCCTCCCTTCTTATAGAAATCACGTCCCAAGCTTTCTTAGCAAGCTAAAGCTTGGTTCAAATCCCTCCATACACTATGGAGGAGGCAGTCTGTGCTCACCAGCTGGCACAGCTGACATGCACAATGCCTGTAGAAGCAAAGAAAAGGCCTCGGCCAAAAATTATGGCCGATCGACCAAAAATGGTACCGATCGGCCAAAAAAGGTGCCGACCGGCCAACACGAATGGCCGATGGTAAGAAGGAAAGGCCGATAGGCATGAGGCCTGGCCGATGGGTTATAGGGCTAGCCAACAAGCCACCCCTTTCCCTCATAAACAAAGCCACAAGCTCCTGGTGCACAACCAAGCATAAAACAGACAAGTTGAGAGGTTCCAAGGCAAGGCGAGCACTCGAGACCTTCAGGAACTCAAAACGAACACGAGCATGGATGATCATCGAGTGTTCAAATGATGACATCCAAGTCTTAAGGACGGTCAAAAGTGGGGTGTCTATAGTACGACCTTAATGTTAGTTACCATGTAGCATGGTTAGGTGTGGAGAAGGCAAGAAGCGAAGTGTATGGTGACTATCATGCTTCATTTGATCAACTTAGGTGGTACGCGGATGCGGTTATGCATTACAACCCTAGGAGTTATGTCAACTTGGATTTTGAGCAGTCTACTGGCCAATTTAAGCGGTTCTTCATTTCATTCAAAGCTTGCATTGACGGATTCAATCATATCTTCCCATTATTGTTTCTTGACAGTACTTTTTTAAAAGGGAGATTTAAAGGTAATTTGCTTGTAGCGACGGGGAAGGATGGCAACAAAGGTATGTCTCTTACGATAATTACTTCATACTTTCATATAGTAACGCATTACACTGTGACTAACTTTTTTTTTAAGTCCACTACAGTAGTAGGTGATCCCCAATTGCAAGATTGTTTCCAATTTAATGTTATTTTACTAACACTGTGTGTGGCGCGATTCGAATTGTGAACAATTGTTAATGTGGACGTAAACTTTGTTAAAAATATTTCATCTAACAGTAAACCTGTTAAATCTGCCAAGTATATTCCCATTAGCTTTTGCTATTGTTGACTCTGAAACAACTGCAAATTGGACTTGGTTTTTACAGCAACTGACAAAGGTTGTTAGTAGTGCTCGCACATTAACTTTCGTATCCAACTGTAATATTGGGCTGCTTGCATTCTTGCCTGCTGTATTCCCATCTGCACACCATGCGTACTACTTACAACATCTCCAAGCAAATTTGAGGGACAAATTACGATGGGTTGACAACCGTGTAAGTTATAGTTTAATGGCCAAGTTGCGTGAATGTGCGTGTGCTCCAACTGAGGCTTCGTTTCAACAGCATTGGACGAAGCTAAAAGGAGCAGGACGATTTGGAATAAATAATTTCTTGAAAGATATGCCACCGAAGCATTAGGCCAACGCATATTTCAGGTTCGTATGAGGCTTACACGTGCTAACATTGCAAGTACCCAATATGTGATAGCATTTTCATTATGTTTTCATAATGTGAACAGGGGCAAACGATATGGGGAGATGACCTCGAACTCTGCAGAATCGTTAATAAATTGATACTTGATGTCCGTAACTACCCAATCACAAGTTTGGTTGATACAATCAGAAATCAAATAATGACTATGAGGGTTGAGCGTAAAGTTTTGGCTACTAATTGGAATGGGTTACTTTGTCCAAAAATGAAGAGCCGTGTTAGGGAGGCATACTCTAATGGTTGCACATGGATTGTTAGCCAGTCAAATGAAGACATATATGAGGTCTATTCATTTCCAACGGTGTTGGTATATGTTGGCAAGCGTTCATGTTCTTGCTTCTAGTGGTAATTGAACAGATTCCCATGTTCACATGCGGTGGTTGCAATACAGAGTAGTGGAAGGGATTTCAATACATTTGTTGAAAAAATTTTCATTGTCGATCAGTATAGAGTTGCTTATTCTGGATACATTCAGCCAATACCAATAGTTGACAAACCCTCCTTCTCGGAAGACGACTTCATCATATATCCACCGGCAGTTAAACGTCCTCCAGGGCGACCCAAGAAGAATTGAATACCATCTCGGGAAGAGAAAATAAGCCAGATTAGGTGTGGTTGATGTGGCCGCATGGACAGCCACAACTGAAAGACATGTAAAGAACCAATTTTGTAATAGGCATTTAACATGAACTTTTGTAACTTGTTTTGAACAACAGCATTTTATTATCGTAGTAGCATGTATCGAAGCCAATTGATGACAGATTTTAATAAGTGAAGACACTGTTTACAATCGATCATTCAGCTATTTTTTCTTTCACACTGTCTCATTCATATGTTGGTGTTACATGTTTATTTATTTGGTCATGCAAACGTATGTTTCAGACCTGCAAAATACGTTAGACAAAATGTGTTGCACGCTAGCCTTGTATGTGAGAAGACATTTATTTTGTAACATAGGTGGTGTTGTTATGGTCTCCGTCTGACAGGTTCTCGTGCAACCACTTAGTCATTGTTAAATTACAGCAAATTCTTGACATATTAAATTGTCAAAGCCAACCAAGATTCCTTCTCACCTTCTCATTCACATTCACCTATACGTTCACATTCACATACAGCTACCCATTCGCAATCACATTAAATTTGGCAATATAATTTACACAAACACATTCACATTCCTATTTTCCCACTCAGTAAGAAAAGTGCACAAAACTGTTACACATTCGGCAGCACAATCTTGCTACTAAATGCAGACAACCAAACTTGTTCTAACAAACACAATCACATCGAATTTCACATTCACTATCGCATAAACATAACAATTCACATTCACACAACCACATTCACATTTGTATGTCACATTCGCAAAAGAGTGCAAAACACTATCATAGATTCACATTTGCATTTTGGGTGTTACAGGTATACAACCAAACCTGTTATGTCATTTACAATCACATTCAATTTCACATTCACCATCACATAAATGTAACCCTTCACATTCACATAACCACATTCACATTTGTATGTCACATTCGCAAAAGAGTGCAAAACACTATCATAGATTCACATTTGCATTTTGGGTGTTACAGGTATACAACCAAACCTGTTATGTCATTTACAATCACATTCAATTTCACATTCACCATCACATAAATGTAACCCTTCACATTCACATAACCACATTCACATTTGTATGTCACATTCGCAAAAGAGTGCAAAACACTGTCATAGATTCACATTTGCATTTTGGGTGTTACAGGTATACAACCAAACCTGTTATGTCATTTACAATCACATTCAATTTCACATTCACCATCACATAAATGTAACCCTTCACATTCACATAACCACATTCACATTTGTATGTCACATTCGCAAAAGAGTGCAAAACACTGTCATAGATTCACATTTGCATTTTGGGTGTTACAGGTATACAACCAAACCTGTTATGTCATTTACAATCACATTCAATTTCACATTCACCATCACATAAATGTAACCCTTCACATTCACATAACCACATTCACATTTGTATGTCACATTCGCAAAAGAGTGCAAAACACTGTCATAGATTCACATTTGCATTTTGGGTGTTACAGGTATACAACCAAACCTGTTATGTCATTTACAATCACATTCAATTTCACATTCACCATCACATAAATGTAACCCTTCACATTCACATAACCACATTCACATTTGTATGTCACATTCGCAAAAGAGTGCAAAACACTGTCATAGATTCACATTTGCATTTTGGGTGTTACAGGTATACAACCAAACCTGTTATGTCATTTACAATCACATTCAATTTCACATTCACCATCACATAAATGTAACCCTTCACATTCACATAACCACATTCACATTTGTATTTCACATTCGCCAAAAAGGACAAAACACTGTCATACATTCACATTTGCTTTTTGGGTGTTAGAGGTATACAACCCGACCTATTCTGTCATTCACAATCACATCCAATTTCACATTCACCACCACATTTACATACAACTTCACACTCACTCAACCAATTTCACATTTGCAATTTCACACTCCCTAATACAAGTACCAAACACTGCCATACATTCACAAACACAATTTCTGTATTAGAAATGAACAACCCACATCGTTTTATGGCATTACCATTCACATTAACCTCACATTATGAGTCACATTACCAATTACATTCACATTTACGCAACCACATTCACACTTATGTAGCCGACATTCCTACCACCCTTAAATTCCTATTGACATTACTGAATGACACATAAAGCCATATTAACAAAATAAAGTGCATACCAAAAAAAAACAATTAACCATTGTTGCCTATTCCCACAAAAAAAATACACTAATCAGTAATCCATAATGACAATGCAATCAAAAACATCAAAAACTTCCAATTTTTCCTGTACCAGCAAACTTTTTATACCATTCCAAAACAAATAAAGTGTGATTATATACCCAATATATTAAATCTGCACCCATATACCACCATCAGAAGATAGTCAATTGTCAGCCACAAATGACCTTCTCCTGTCATTCACAAATGACTTCACTATACCGGCTCACATTGTTCTGCAGCTCTCCCCTCCTATTGACTTGTCAACATCTAGGTGACGCACAAGTTGCTTCATAATGAAGCATACTATAATTCCACAATCATTCCTATTACAAAAATTTAAGCCATTAGTAACAATGTCAAAACAGACCACGTGCAATGTACGGAAACATGAATGGCATACGTTGCAAATAAACATAACGAACTTACGAGTTTGGTTTTTGTTATGGACAATAATCAACCACTAGAAGCTCCTTCACCAAGTCTTGTGTTTCAACTGTGCCCACCTTCAGTTTGTGATTTATGTAATTCTCAAAGTAGGATTTCTACATTATTGTCAAATTTATATTATAATAATTAGTATTTGTTGTCCAAAATAAAATATAAAGATCATTACAATTAACTAATTCACGTTTACTAACCAACAACCACGCTTCCCAGTAATGTTTGTTTTCCCTCCCACGTCTTGGTTTCATTGAGTTGTAATGCATCCAAAACCCCTCCTCAGTGTCATAAACCATTAGTGTCCAATGGTTATCTAAGTG